TAAATAGTGACATATTTATACGGATGAAAAATTCTCGAATCGGACGTAAAACTACAAACAGTCAATCAATCAATCTTGTCCTTGAGTGAAATAAGTACGAAAACCAATAACAATGGACGAAAACTCAAAAACAACACCAAAAACAAAAAGGTTAATAATCAACAAAAGCCTCTGCTTTATCTAGACCATTAACTATTTGCTTTCTCTACATCTACTAAATGTTCAGATGACCCAATTTCTTCTATGTTCAGATGAGATTACAAACATCGCTCCACCCTTGACTATGCCGTTCAAGTCGATTTAATATTTTCTTGTCTTAGCCATCATTTTTTATATGACTACATTTAAATTGAATGTGATAGCTAGTTCAATTTTCTCGATAGTTAACAGCTGAACGTTAAGTAAGAAATTAAGAGCAGTAGCGCGTTCTGACATACAGGGTTGGAGAGGCATACTTAAAAATAATAAATCAAACATAAATAATCATAATGACTCCCACATTAGTTTTCTCCAAACATTGGTTCAAGGAGAATTTCTGATTAACCCTCTCTAGATGTCTTATTGATTATTGACAGTATAAATTTTCATCCCGGAGATTAAAAAAGACTTTTAAAATTATGATCCACAGCAGTACTGCAGAAGTATGACAGAAATACTGCAAGCTCCGTATTAAACAGCAAATCATTCAAGTCAAAAAAGCAACCTTAACACTCCAAAAATAAAGTGTCAGGTCATTTCCATACAGAACAAACAAGATTGCTCTTTAGAGATTTTTACAGCATTTATTGAGTCACAAGCCCATTTTTTTCATTTAAATTAGTAATCATCTTCAAAACATGTCAATCAAATTTTGGGCCGGTCAAAGTTTCCGGAAACAGAGACGCCACTTTAGTTCTAAGGTAGGGGATAAATGTATATTATTTTTGTCATTAATAACAAGGCCTCAGCTTAAACATGTATTTTAAAACACCAACACTGACAAATACAATGTTGAAGCAATGTGCTTTACCCTTGAAGCCACATTAAGGAATTTTTATATTCATTAGTTCGGAAACTAAATACTATACAGGTGAGCTCTATGGACCATGATCCTATTGTTACCTGTTATTGTATTAGTATTGGCAATTGTTTTAGTCTCCTTTAATTTTTAATTTATTAATATATTCATTATTTTATTGACAGAAATGTCCACTGGGTAAATAGTTTTGTAAGTGGGTAAATTATTCTCTTTCACTTCTGCAATGTTATCTGCATTGAATTACGCAAAGTCATTTGGTTAGTAGATATTTAGTTAATTTAAGTTCCTTTTGTTTTTAATTACTCAGTTTGGCAATCAACACGGAATTTCTTACACATTATTAGTATGAGACTTAAAATAAATGCAGCTTTTTGTGTATTCAGGAAAAGTTACCTTTAATAAATAATTATAAAAAATGAAAAATCAGGATTTTTTTTACATGTATATAGTGATCAGTGAAATACAGATATGTACATCAAGTTCAAATTCCGTAAATTAATTTGAATCAAACATAATTTTGAAATATAACCGATTTGCGTTAAATCTTGCCTTAAGACTTCATTTTTCAACCACAATTCATTAACATGTAGAAATATTTATTTCTGCAATGGATTTACAATTTTAACGTTTTACTTAAAAAAAATTTGATTTCATTAATAAATGTGACCCTAGTTTTTTTTCTTCCATTTTTGCATTAATCATAGTGTAATGACAATGTCTAACATCTAGAATTCTGATAGCGAGTGTAAATTTGCTTTGGCATTGATGATATGTTTTGCATTTCAAAGCTGGATTTTTTCTGTAAGATTTAATTTTTTCATTATGAACATGCTTAAACTAGCCCTCACGTCAATAAATTCAGGAAAAATCTAGAAAAAAAAACATGAATAACGTTAATATCTTTAGTACAGCAATGAAAAAGTAATGGTAATTAAAAGATATGAATTAGAATATAAATCAATATCTAAAAAGAAGAAAAATTTATTTCAAGTAATTATTATTTTAATTTATTCTGAGTTAATTTAACGTAAAATATATATGAAAAGTTCTATTTATAAAACGCTCTTTATATATTGACGTCCTTTTGAAAAGAAAGCAATGATACAGTGATATTATTTGAGTCGACATCGATCATATTATTATATTTATATTTTGAAAAGTATACCTTGTAATGAAATAGTATTTTTGCCTATTGAAAATAGACAAAATTGAATTACTCATTTTCTATTTATCGTGTGAATTTGTTCTCTTTGACATTCAACTGAAATAAACCCTGTTTTATCTATTGACAGTCATTTTTCTTATTAAAGTAAGTACAAACTTTAATTTCCGGTAGGTATTTTAAATATATGTAATATTTCAAGAGAAAATTCTCATTAAAATGTATCTTATTTAAATCTAGCAATTAATTTTTTTAAGGTAAAACCAAGGTATGTTTAATGATATATTAATTCCCTAGGAGAAAATTATAATGGATGTGTTACGGATGGAATGCCTTCAACATCCCTTGTGTGTTTAACATTTTACAACTGAATTTAATTCATCTTTAAATAAAACATTGTATGTACATGTATAATATCCTCATGACACCTAAACCAGACACGTTATCATAAATACTTAATTAACATGAATAATGGTTAAATGTTAACTAGTAAATGTATCAGAAATATTTATTTCCTTCTTGACGCCAACGTCACTACAGAGACTTTAATAAAGATTTAACGATATAGGACAGCGAATAATTCAAACATTGAGTATAATTTTGGTCCTTTTGAACATGTAAAAATTAAATATAAGGAATGTTTTTAAGTTAGTGTGAATTATTGGTGTGTAAATCACACAGACTTGCATGCTAGCGCTCTTCATGAAATATGCCTACGTGAAAAGTCTGTGTGATTTACACACCAATAACTCACACAAAACTTAAAAACATTCCTTAATTGAGCACCACCAATTGCAATTGCTGCTGGGAAGCTTTAGGTAAAACTTATGACCTTTGGCCCCTGAACAGCGAGGCCTTTTATGCCTGCATCTAATGCGGCACGGACCCTTGGTTTACACAATATCATCAGAATGCCTGCAAGTGGGATTATATGTTATATTTTTCAGCTTTAATAGTACAAGTTAATTATGCATTAGTTTCATTAATAATGTACGATTCAAAATATGTTTACTTTTTCGATACGAAGCAGCGCCAAATAACGATCATAAAATTAATGTACATATAGAATGCAATCTTGATAAATTATATATAAATTTGAGATTTATGCATGAGAATGATTGATACTATATTAACATGTTTATAAAAGCCTCTTTAAATATACATGACAATTGAAGGACAGATACATTAAATATTAACTTAAAGGAGTCTGGACTCAGTTGCATTGCTGCTTTGTTTACAATTTTAAATTTGAATTTTTATTCAAAAAATAATAAGTTTAATGAAATGAACTTGCATGCACATTCTTAAAATTCAATAAGAACAACATTCTTCATGCAATTAGGTCAAACATCTGCATGTGTTTGAAAACATGGACACGAGCTCTGATATAATTGTTTATGTTTACCTTGTACCGCGCAGTACAGTTAAGATGCGCAATGGAACTATCGGCGATTTTTTATAAAACAAATATATTCTTTTTCAGGATTGCGATTCTTTTGAGTTCTTTACTAATATCGGACAAATGTAATTATGGTTATTAACTACATATTGAGGACGACTAGATTTTCTATTTAGACTTGTCACGTGATATGGCAGTCACGTGATTTTAGCACATATACTTGCAGTATTGAGGTCGCCTATAAATGTCAATAGTGCAAGGGCATAGCCAAGTTAAAATTCAAAGCTTAACTTTTAAATAGTTTCAACACCCATTTTAGTTTCTGAAAAGTGCTGCGATCCTACATAGATTCTACTATTTCATTGTTAAAATCATATTTGTATGAACGCATACTGAATTTTTTGCTGGTCAGCTTCATTAAATATAGAAATAATTAATTCAGTTTCAAGATTTCAACAGGATCGCAGCAATTTTCAAATAGCTTAATACTTCTAGAGTTTATGATTAAAAACTTGTCATGATCCATTGAGGGTATGCCCTTGCACTAGATCGAGTTGTCAAGACCCTTAGATCATCCTCCATTGTACCTGCATACAAATATAAGACAGTATCCGTTAATTAAGAAATGTACGGGAAATCTATGAACAAATTGATAAAAAAAAAGACATTGCATCCAAATTAATGGCCTCTTAAAAATCTTCAAATAATATTTGATTTATTTATAAAATACATTTCTCCGTTGTGTAAATATTACTTGATCCGCCTCTCAATGCATACAAACTGCGTCAAGTTTTACGGAATGACGTCATATCGACAAGTGCAGTGCAATAAGTGACTTGTTTATACCTTGCTATATGGGATTTAACTAACAACAAAAACGCATGTTATAGTAAGTTTTGATGTAGTTTAATTGTCTCCTACAGTTTAAAATCGCAAATCACTTCATTTTGATGTATTTGTAAAGATTGTTAGTTTCGTGTGATGTCATAGTTAATATTTCCCGTAAAAATTAGGCCCCGCCTCCTTTTGTAGCCTTAACTGTGCTGCGCGTGTCCAATTTGTTAACTCAGCAGACATCACTGAATACGAATGGACAACGCAAGTGTGTTGGTTTTGCTTTCTAACATTTCTTCTCTGAATTTTCAGTTTTAATTTTTTTCATTAATACACAAATGTTCCGCTTTTCTTAAATATTAAGAATAAATTATACTTCGTGAATGTGCAAGGATGTTTGTCAATCAAACGCATCCAAAAAATTTTAGTTCTCAAATTTTTTATTTTAAACATGTTTGTAAAATATCAGTCTGAAATGCTTTAGAAACAGGTAAGTCATGATATTAAACAAAAAAAAAAAAAAAAAAAAAAAAAAAAAAAAAAAAAGAAAATATTAACATGGAATCTGTGTCAATGCCCCTTTAATTTGTAATGTTTATTTTTATAAGTAGTATGGCTGACCATTCAAACATAGAGGTTTGTCTAAAAAAAAAAGTACTATGTTCTATACATAAAATTTTGATCAAGGTACATGCATTTGTGTCCATGCAAAAGCACATCATTTCATACAACCCGTTTGATCATCAGTCGCATTGATTTTAGCGAGTAATAATGTGTACGCCAAGGTTTGTACACGATGCCCTCGGCAAATATGGCTGTGTTCCCTTCTAAATAAAGTCCGTTTGGATTCGAACAATGACAGGCATTATGCCACCATCCGGATTTGAACAGGATTGCACAGTTTTCACCATATAAATCGTTGTCTTGATCCTTTGTGGTGAACTTCATGTTGTTAATAAGGGCACCAGATACTCCAGTTGTAAAGCAATCAGCTGCGAATAAATCAAAAGTTAAATTAATTTTACCCTATTTATAACAACACACAAACACAACAACCCCCCCCCCAAAAAAAAAAAAAAACAACAACAACAACAACAAAAAAGAAAAAGAAAGAAAAAGAAAAGAAAAACCCACAAGACCATGAGCCGTCACGGTCACTAGAGAATCATTAAAAATGCTATGTGGTAATTGTCATTTTAAGACAATTTAAACCTCCGGAAAGAATACCTCTGTAGTTGTTGATCACCTTGCATCCTTAATGAGTTTTCCTTGAAATTTACCATCAAGATTTTTTTTTCTTATTTCGTATTCAATGAGAATACATGTAGATCTAGAGCTTTATGTTTCCCAAAAATGATGCATAGTTAATTTTTTTTCCGATTCTTTAAATAAAGATGATTTCCTTGCGTATATTCTTTGGGCCATGATCTTAATTTTATTCAATCGGAATTACTGGCATTTTATGGGTCATATTCAATAATAAAGCATTCTTAGAAATATTCTGTAATTATTTTCCTTATGTAACCTTGATACACATTTTCGAATTCTCACATTATGCTTTTATTCAACAGCGGTTTTTATCCCTGTCATTTTTGTGAGATTTCAAACTTTGTATCAATTTATAAGATGATATTGTTGAAGAAGAAATTTAATCAAATGGAGAAATACTAGTACTGCTAGATAAATTTTGTAGTTACCTGTTTTTGATCGAAAAATAATTTCATTTCATCTAAAACCTTCATTTTTCCCCCAAAAAATCTCACATACCTACGTCCCCAGAATAGCCAAAGAGTGAAATGGCGTATTTTGAGGCTTCATCGCCAAGAGTCATACTGGAGTATTTGATATAACGTGTTTGGTTGTCAAAATCAGCCATATCCATCCTCATTTCGTAAGAACCTTGACTAAGTAGACGAGACAGCTTCTCATTGCCTACAATGTATTAAGCATATGAGGTAGTAGTGGAAAGAATTCTATCCTCACAACGTCAGGGGTCCTTAATCCACCCGTGGCCGTGGGACCCCTGACAAACTCCCTTTTGTGGGGACAGCTTGTCTCACTGAGAATCACCAATCAAATTTGGGCTTTTATAAGTTGGCATAAAAAGAAAACAGAATGTAAGCAGTTGACTCCTCAATGCAAGTAGTACAGGTTGTGTGTCACCAATAGTCTTAATATAAGTCTTAAAGAATCTGCAATCAGCCTGTAAAAAATCGAATTAAAGGACTATATTCGGTAATGACCAATATTTGCTCCCAAAATCAAACTTTGACGGAGAAATCTTTAATTATGTTCTAAAACAGGGGGATATCTGCAGACTTCAAAGCACTGAATATTTTCATAAGCCATGACGCCATATGTTAGATATGACGTCAGGAAAATGACGTAAATTCAAAATTTTCATGATTTACACAGAAAAAGGTGTATATTAGGTCGATAATCTGAGTAAAAGTCACAACGCAGGCCTGCTCAAACTCAATATTTTAATATAATGTGTAGAATGATAATATTAATGAAATATGTAAATATTGTTCTGGAGCAGGCCTGCGCTGTATAAATTTTATAGTAAAAATTGAACAAATTTTGTCCATTTTTTCCCTCTTTCTGAAAAATTACATAAAATAGTTTGTGACGTCATAGAAACAAAAATTGCCAATAACCTACTTTGAAATTATAATATTTTTTGTTCATTTAGATATCTCATACAATATATAAAATTCAGCACATTTCAATTTTTTCAAAATGTGACTTTTGGAGGGGGGCAAAAAATATGTATATACCGCATATAGTACTTTGTCAGAGGTCCCCTGGAAACGAGTGGATTCAGAACCACTAAGGTTGAAAGGATATAAGAATTCATGTAGCAACCGTATATTACATATACAAAATTTATACGAGTAGTTGTGTTATAAGAAAAAGGAAAGGTTGTTTTTCCTCTTTCTCTCCCCTCTTTCTAAATCACCATTTTAAAGACGAAGACTTTCTTTCTGTTAGAAAGTCAAGTTTGTCAGAAATTATCAGTACTAAGCAGTATTTTATTTTTCTCATCCTTTGTAAAAATATATACGTTTGTAATATATATACATGTACATGTATATATACATATATAGAGAGAGAGAGAGAGAAAGAGAGAGAGAGAGTTGGATTATATTTTTTATATTAAATTTGTTTGCAGAAATGACTAAGTTACTAAACAAATCAAATATATTAATAGAAGTAAAACCTATCTCAATTTCATTTGGAAGTTTGACAATGATAGTAATTTCTTGCAAAGAAGTACAAATTTTGCTCAAAGGACTTGATGTGAACCTGAAATTTTAGAATTCGCCTGAAAGTCATTATAACATGCGCCAAACACGTTTCTGAGTTGTAATATTAATAAGCTCCAATAATCAGTGAATAATCAAAAATAACAAGTATGAAAAATAACAAGATTTGTATCATACCAAGCCAGAATTCCCGTGTTAGATTACCGAAGCCATCCTTGTATTCGGCCCATGTTCGATAAAAATCTTCAGAACCGTCAATTCGCCTTTGAAAAACCTTCAAGTACAAAGGTAATAAAGAGGAATTAGGGTATCAATTTTAAAATATATGTACATTTTAGATATATCTTAGTCACGTGATCATAGTAAATCATGCTATCCTTACCTCTTGTATCTCTATGTCAAAATAAAACTTTGTATTATATTTTAATTGTTCAACCTTTTATGTTCCAAACCTTGACATCATAAATTTAATTGTTCGAGTACGTTAACCGATTGTGTTTTTGATGCCAAATTCACCTAACAACTGTAAAGCATCTTCAACAATTTCAAGCATTGCATTACTATTGTTGTCATATACATTTGGGTAATTAATTACAAATACAGCTTGATATAGATTCGTATTAAATTAGAATATTACTGTCCACCCTCCACCATCAGCCTCCATTTCACAAAACACAGTCACGTGACCAAGGGCTGGGATTGTAATACTGTATAATCCACTAGGTAAATATGCTGATAGGTCATGTACTGTCGTGCAGTCCTTTAGATCATTATTATCTGAAGAAAATGAAATGGTATGTATTTTTAATTCATCTGAGAAATTTCTGCATTTTATTTTAAAGCACTTACCTTTGGCACAAATCGTCTTGTTACTTGAAAGTGGGATGCATTTTTCACCAATCGAGCACGATAGGCATTCTGTTCTCTCAACTGAGATCTATAACAAATAGTAAATACAAAATGAGATTTACAAACTTGTTTTGTGTATGTCAGGGTGTGTTTGTGTGTGTGTGTGTTGAATAACATGAAGACTCATCACTACAAATGGGTATTATTTTTCCCCATGTAGTTTGCAACAATTCAAATAATCAATTTCATAAAAAAAAATCTGACAATTTTATATCGGTATTATTTTAGCTTCCTATCTTTTCTCTGAGCGTAAAATTGACATTCTAAACTGCAGTTGCACTATGTGTGGGTATTTTTTAAAAAAATTAATTTACTTCAATTTTTCCTTCTTTGTTAGCCTTAGCAGAGTTCCATGTTCTTGTCTCGGTTCAAATACTAACCGCATGTTGTCTGGTCTTATTGCACTAATTCATAATCACCTCTAAACTATGGTTTTAACTCAGCCAAATGAATTCAAGCACATGCAAACCGCTAAATAGCCAATTCTCGATATAGCCGCTCCGATAATTTTCTAACACATTGAATTAAACATTTACCTAAAATTGAATACAGATTTGATTTAAGTAACATATTTTATCGACGCCCCCACTTAAGGATATCTGCTCCTAACGATATCTCTTAAAAATTATTTTTTTGATTTAAAAAGTCTCAAAATGAAGTTTAAACAGAATTAAACATTTTCCCAGAGTTTTAAATATAAAAATGATTGAAGTAACATTTTATCACCGCCTCAACTTATGGATATCAGGTCCTCAAGAAAACTCTTCAAATTATTTTTTTAGATTATAAAAGTCTCAAAATGAAGCTTTAACTGAATAAAACATTTTCCCGATGTTTTAAATACAAATATGATCTAAGTAACATATTTCATCCCCCCCCCCCCCACTTAAGGATATCCTCTCTTCACGTCAACTCATCAACTTATTTTTTAAGGAGGTTGGATCAAAAGTATTGATTTTTTTTTTTACCAAGTATACTTTTAGAATCTTCACACATAGCTCAATTAAAAGTCAAAACAGAAAATGGGGATTAATGTGCTTCTTTTGGCGCTAGGGATCATTTAGTATGACCTTTTTGCACTGTAATTATGTCTAACACACAAATCAATGTTTCAAATTTTTCCTCCAATATTTTTTATTCAAATAAAAGATCGGAACAAACAGAGTCTCATTTCATCTTGAATAGACACATTAAAATATGTGACAACAAAAAGGTTTCAAATTACTTTGCATGGTCAATTATTTGACCTTTCTGCACTCAAAAAATGTCATTTTTCTGATATTAAAAATTTAACAAGCAATAAAATCATTTGAAAGTAATGTGACACTCATTTTACTGAATTTAAGCAGAATGGTTTGCTTAAAATTCTCATATTTATTTACAAAAGAACATTTTTAATTTTTAATTTTAATTTTTAGATAATACTAATAAAGTGTTAATTTTAAGCTTAAATTGGGGCTATTTTTTCCTGGAGTTTCACAATATATTTGCTATATTTGTCAAATATGATAATAGAATTCATGACAATTGATTTAATTATTTAGGACCAGTATAAAACAGTTCACTGTACAAAATAATTCTATGTGCAGGCTGCATGGAAAAATGGGAATCAAAACTTAATCAAACTGTAAATACTTCGAAAGAGAAAAATTAGTCATTTTCTTCAAAAAACCTTCGCCTAAAAATATAGTTATTCACTTAATGTTTTTGGTATGGCATTAAATCATGGGGTTGTAATTGAATGTAGTTTAATTTGCATTGTAGAATCCAAATTTATTATTAGAACCAAAACACCGCCCAGATTTTTTTTTAAAAAGAGGTCAAGAAAAAATCTGCTCAACAGCTCAGGAACGAAACTTTTTAATTAAAAAAAGTCTCAAAATGAAGCTTAAAATGAAATGTATACAACCTCCGTTAAATTTTTTTGTTGTTGAAAAATTATGTAATGGATAATAATTTGGCCACAGTATGTTTATCCTTTATTGAACGTACCCGGAAAACCCATTTAAAAACAGACACAGACAGTTTTCAAATCCCCCCCCCCCCCAGTTTTAAGGAAAAATTTGGAATTTCAGAACTATAAAATTCTTAATCTTTAAAGGAAAAAAAAAAAATAAATGAAAAATCTCAAATGTCTTTCTAATGCCATTGTATAGATTTGCAGTTTTCACATGATACAAGGAATACAACTTTACCAGCTTTCTTTTTTAAATTATTAGTCAGTACTTGTGCTAATTATTGAATATCTTTTTTGAAATGTGTTAAGTGTTAATATGTATTTTTGTCGGACTAGTGGGTACCTTTTCAAAGAATTAAGGGACGTAAAACGAAGATATGATTTACCAAGGCCTAATTCACTATCTACTGAACATTCTTATGAAATCTGAATTGGTATCACTTGCACATATTAGTCACAAAGTGCACCATTTTATAAAAGCCATCTGTACTCTTAATGTTAAAGATCAAGTGTATTATACATGTAGCTTCATCTACGTAAGGTAGAGATTTAAATACGATATTTTAGGTACTTTTACCGACTTTATATGACTAATTAAGAGAATGATTATAAATAATCGAAGAAAGATAAATGTATTATTGCCGAGTAAATATGTACATTTAACGGGTTTTGTAATTTTTCCTTCAATGCTGCATTCATTATATTATTTTGAACATCAAAGAAAATTATATTTTTTAAATATTAGGTTGTTTATCATCAATCCCTTGTCATAATTCCTATGAAAACATAGAACCTTGCTATAGATGTCGACATGGCAGTGTGCGTAATGCAAAACAATTAAGCGCCATGAAAGCAATTAGGGCCACAGCGACTCTAAAACTTTTGAACGTAAATGTTTCTTCCAAAGTGTTAAAATAACAGTCTGAGAAGAAAATCCTCAAAAAAATCATATCATCTCTTAATAAAAATTGCATATAAATTATGCAATACTATATTAAATGCTATTGATTTTATCATACTGCGAAAAAAAAAAATGTTGCTTAACTATGCGTAAGCAAACAGCTTAACATATTTCCCGGGATTTCACAATTTATATTTTGTACCATTCAAAAAAAAAAAAAAAAAAAAAAAAAAAAAAAAAAAAAAGATACCACTGAAATAGTTTTGTTCCTTGCTTTACATTCATAATTAATATTTGTTCACTCATAATGGGACGACACCCATCGTTTGAGGAATGCAAATTTTGTACTCTGCACTTAGAGCCATTAAGCAGTGAAGGGTTCTTTAGCCTCTCTTAATTTACCTTAATATGGAAATTTAAATGTTTAATTAAGAAGAATAATTTTTTCTTTTGTTAATTGATAACATAAAGGTATAGAAGACTTGAGAATTCTGGTTCTTTTTACTTACAGAATACTTACTTCATTTAGTGGAATCCTTACATAGTCCTCAGAGGATTCAGTCTCCTCAATGGACGACACAATTTCACAGTGCAGATGTTTTTTCTTGTAGTTGACTCCTTTACACCAAGCGGGCCTTGCTAAGCATTCTTTTATACATTGCATCTGACCCGCCGTACCAAAAAATCCTACAACGGGTCCTATGAATCTTTCGCCTGGAATTTGAAAATATGTATGTCCCCCACTATTTATTGCAAATGTGAGTAGGAGAAAGACACGCATAGTGTCCACCATAAGAATGTTCTCGATTTGATTAAGGACTATCAATGAGTCATGAATAATCAACAGTTGGAACACTTATTCATCGACTACATATAATGACGGAACTATTAAATTGGTATGAAGTTAGTGTCTGCATTGAACAAATTATGGAAGTTTATAAGCATAACTGATTTATGGATTACTCAAGAATAGATTTCTTAATTTCGCCATTATAAAATCGATATTCAGGATGATTGTAATGGTGCTTCAATAAATAACAGTTTCAGCAACAATTTGCTTGCGAAAGGCAATTACAATACTGTTTGAGCATTGATTGTAAATTGATATTTTATTCAGTATACATTGTTGACGTATAAATGTAGAAAATGAATAAACGGACAAAGAACTCTTGAACTAATTAAAGATTTTATTTGTTTGAGATTCGTTTTAAAGTGAATCAAATTAATGGTTAAGAAAATTAATTTAATAACAGCGCAATCACTGAATATTTAAAATCTCTCAGGTGTGATAGTTTCATGGGAGGTTGATTTGGTTTTTTATAAGACCTAACTTAAGAGGCATAATTTGAAACATTCAAAACAACAGATGATTCAAGAGACCTGGAAAGGAACATATAGGGAATTTAGCTAAAGAAATATCAATATCTATAGCACAAAGTATCTATAGCTTACTATAGACCTATAGTTTCCTATTGGACAAATATTTACAGTAAAACTCGGTTATAACGAAGTCACTGGGACCTGTGAAATTACTTCGCTATATCCGTAATTCGTTATATCAGTATAAGAAATTCGATAAATTTATATAGCTGGGGATCCAAGAAAAATTCGCTATATCCGTGAATTCGCTATATCCGTGTATGTACTAAACTAGTTTTACTGTATTTGAAGATATTGATACTTATATACATGTAGGTTACATTGATACTTCGATTCACAATGATACTTTGCAGGCAAATAAAATAAGATGTCTGTGCACATACTTAAAGCAGCATCAGGACAACAGATTGATTGATTGTTTTCTGTTTAACGTCCCTCTTTAGAATTTTTCACTCATATGGAAACGCAACCACTTGGCGGTGAAGGGCTACAAATGTTGACCTATACACGGCACTCAGGGCCATTGAGCAGTGAGGGATCTTTTTCGTGCCAGCACCTTCTGCGACACTGGACCTCGTTTATACGGTCTCATCCGAAGGACCGGTGGGACACACAGAGGTTTGATCTTGAATGAAAT